GGAGTGCCCCCAAAATCCCCCGTTGGGGTGGAAGATGGACTTGGCAACCCTAGTCTCCCAACTGCCACCTGAGAGTTTTCAGAGTTGCCACCTAAGCTGCAGCACAAAACTCTGTTTGGAAGGGAGGATAGTGATGGCAGTTGTTGGAAATGTATGTGTTTACAAGGTCTGATGATTCAGTCAATATAGGGTTAACTTGTATTCCTAGTTTGCTATTGTTTAGACTGACCTGGAAGGGATACCTGGCACTAAGCCAATGGGGAATTAGCCCGGGAAAAGTAGCTTCTACTGTGATACAGATTGGTCATTTGTTTCAGGTGACTTCCTTTCTAGGGGTCAAGAAGAAGGAGAGATTCTCCATTATCTGTGTGCTTGTTTTGACTATAGGCAGCTTAGAAATGTAGCTCTTAGTGTTATGTTAATTTGTAGTAATCCCGTAAACCCTTTACCCTTAGTAATAAAGGTTTTTTAAAGGCAAAGAAATCTCTTCTTTCCAATAGAGCAAGATCCATTAATAGTCTAAGTATTAAACACTTTTTGACTATTTTTCACCAGCAGTGACCTGGATGAGGGGGTGAGGGGTGACGATGCACCCTCCCCTTCCACACCCCAAGATTCCCAACTCTCTGCTGCTCCTGCTTCCATCAGAACATCCCCCCATCTAGCACTCCGCAGGAAGCAGCTGTCCCTCCCACCTACTCCAGTGATGGGCGTGGGGACACGGTTCCACTCTGCTGCACGGAAATACTTCCACACTCTGGGGAGTGAACCCTGCATAGTGGAGTGCCCGGTGTGCTGTTCTTGTGTCCAGAGGGGCTGGGACCCACAACACTTGGGCACCTGCAAAGGGCACACCCCAGTTTGTTGCCACAGGAGGAAGGAGTGTCACCACTAGTGGGAGGTGGAAGAGGCCCAGTCCCACTCATCAGGGAGGAGTGAGTGGGAAAGAGGCTACTCAAATAAAGGCTCTGGACGCTGTGGTTGGGGCTGCAAGGCAAGCCACCCTCCAAGAGGTCATGCTCACGGAGATGCCACCAGTGCTGGGGGGAAAGGGCAAGGGAGAGGGCTCAGGAAACAATAACCTTCCTCATTGGCAAGATGATTGTTTTGGATGGCCAACTATTCTCCCTCATGGGGGACATGGCCTTTCACCAGCTGATGCACCATGTGGTTGCTTGGTACCCAGGGCTCCTGGAGCTGCACCACTGTTGTTTCTGAACCCAGGATGGCTCTCGTGTCCCGCTGCCAATTTTGAGGTGATTTAAACACACCCTTTTTTTTAGATTTTCAGATTTTTCTGCACACCTGGCAGTGTTCCCTCTAAGCTGAGGTAGTGTGAGCTAGCTCACAGTTTTTTAGCCTCCAGCTCATACATTTTTGTCTTAGCTCAGGAAAGATGGCTCCAGAGCAAACTAATTTTATGCAGCAGCCAAACTACCTGCTCACAACTTTAATGCCAGTAGCTCACAAAGTAGAATTTCTGCTCACAGGACTCCACAGCTTAGAGGGAACATTGACACCTGGGGAGTACCCCAAGTGTCCAGAAAATCTCTTTACCCTCCATGTGCTCCCTATCTACAAAAATAATTATCTGCAAGTAGGGGGCACAGTTGGGAATTAGATGTATATGAGTCGGGACCTACAAGAAACTTGTGGGAGCAGCTATCCCATTCCCCTCACCTTTGCTTCTTCTCCTTTCTCCCTACTTCTCTCACTCTCTTTCTCCTTCCTGTCACCCCACTTCTTTCTTTCTCTCTCCCCTCCATACCTGTCACTTCCTTTCTGCCCCCACCCCATCACTCTTTCTGCCCCTGTCAGTCTCCCAGCCTCTCACCTACTTCCCCCCCCCCCAGCAGCAGTGGAAGCAGTTGCTCTCCAGGAATCATGATTGCCCAAATACAGAGCTCAGTTCCTCATAGGGTTGCCAGCTCCATGTTGGAAAATTCCTGGAGATTTGTGGGTGGAGCCTTGGGAGGATGAGGTTTGAGCTGGGAAGTGACCTCAGCAGGGTATATTACCATAAACTCCACCCTTTAAAGCAGCTATTTTCTCCAGAGGAACTGATCTCTGTCATCTAGAGATGAGTTGTAATTCCAGGAGATCTCCAGCCCTCACCTGGAGGATGGCAACATGAGTTCCCCTGGAGGAAATGACTGCTTTGGAGGGTGGAGTCTATGGCATGATATGTGTCAGAAGTCCCTCCCCACGTCAATCTCCACCATCCCCAGGCTCCACCCCTCAAATACCCAGGAATTATCCAACCTGGAGTTGGCATCTCTATGTCCTTCTCATCCAACAGCTAGCCCCTCTGTCTTCAGCTTTCCATCTCCTTTTCTTCTGCAGCGTCTCCTGAGGAAAACGATGGTCTTTCTCCATAGTGGGGACTAAAGCAGTTTATATTATTCTCTGCTCTTCCTTATCCACACAACAACTCTATGCGGTAGGTTAGGCTGAAAGTATGGGACTGGTCCAAAATCACCTAATGAGCTTCCACAACCCTGCAAACCCTACCCTGAAGCTCTGACCATTATACTATGCTGACTTTCATAGGGTGGCTGCTGTTGCACAGTAGCAAGCAGCCAGGTCTAGTTGAATCATGCAAGTCAGGTGGTCTTGTCACCCAGAGAGCACTGCTAGGTCTAGGTTTGCCAGACTCCAGGTGGGACCTGGAGATCCCCCAGAATTACAACTGAACTCCAGACAACAGAGATCTGTCCCCCTGGAGAAAATGGGTGGACTCTGTGGCATTATATCCAGCTGAGGCCTCTCCCCTCCCCAAACTCTGCACTCCTCAGACTTCATCACAGAATCTCCAGAAATTTCCCAACATGGAGTGGGCAATCCTAGTCCCAGGTCTAGCTCCAAACCCCCTGCTATTTAGCCATTCATACTGCAGGGGGGATCTTTCCCAATCTGAGATCCAGTTCTGCTTTTGCTTCCTCCCTTCTCTGTCTTTCTGGCTGTCTCTCACTGTGGCTGCGGTGGGGTCTGGAGTAGATCCGTGTGGAAGCCATTTCAAAAGGTATTGCGGGGGGGGGATTCAAGTGTCCCTGAGTTTTTTGTTTTTTTTTAACTTTTTGCATTTTTCTGCAGAACCAGGGAGTCCCCTGAGTCTGTACAAAAACCTGTTGGGGGAGCACATGCCCCCTATCTGTGGAAATAAGTATCCACACTAGGGTTGCCAAATACCTTTTGCTCCGTGGCGGGGGTCCCGGATGGCGTCTTCTGTGCGCACGCCGCATGCACGTCAGCCAGAGGTGACGTGCTGACGCCGGGCACGCTGGGGGCGGGGGGGGGTTCCCCCGGGGTCCAATTCCGCGGCGGCGGAAATCGGGCCTCCAAAGCGGGGGGAAATCTGCCCCCCGGGGGGAATTGGCAGCCCTAATCCACACACAGAGGGGACTGTTGAGAATTAAATATATAGCTATAAGATATAATGTTTTCAGTATACCCGTCCCAAGTTTTAGAGGTTTGTATGCCTTGTCCTAATCTAGAAACTCAAAGGGCTACTTTTTCCCCCTTCAAACCAGCACAGCTGGCTGAACCACAGAGGCCAGGCAGGCAGACAGCCTAGAGCTTGGGTGCTCAAGCAGCTCCAGCCCCACACTGAACTACTCCTCCTCAGACTGCTGAAAGCCTCCAGCCAAACTGTGAAGCAGCGGCTGCAGCAGCAGCACACAGCCTCTTGCTGGAGCCAGAAATGTGTGTGTTTGTGTGGTGGTTGCAGAATTAGACAAAACGGTTTGCAGGTTCTCCAGAATTCTTGATCAGGCTTAAGAGTATAAATTAAGCCGCCTGACTCAAAAATTTCACACTGCCCTGCTAACCTGAATCTATGTTGTGTAGTGTTTAGAGTGCTGGATGAGGACTAAAAAGGTAAAGGTAAAGGTCCCCTTGCTCGAAAGCCAGTCGAGTCTGACTCTAGGGTTGCGGTGCTCATCTCCGTTTCAAAGCCGAAGAGCCAGCGCTGTCCGAAGATGTTTCCATGGTCATGTGGCCGGCATGACTAAACACCAAGGCGCACGGAACGCTGTTTCCTTCCCACCGAAGGGGTGCCTATTTATCTACTGGCAATTTCTTGCTTTCGAACTGCTAGGTTGGCAGGAACTGGAACTAGAGATGGGAGCTCACTCCGTCACGCGGCACACTTGGGTCTTGAACTGCTGAACTACCGACCTCCCACAGCCTGCAGTTCAGCGTCTTAACCACTTGAGCCACCGGAGCTCCTGATGAGGACTAGGGAGACCTAAATTCAAACTCACTGAGTGAACTTGTACTAGTCACTTCCTCAGCCTAACCTGCCTTGCAGGTTTACTGCGATGGTAAAATGGATACAGGGAGAATTACGTATTCCAGCTCTTAGGAGGAAGTGTGAAACAAATTGTTAAAGATAAATAGAGTGATGGAATGCTTGCAGAGCTAGCAGGTACCAATTAGAACACTGATAAATCTAAGAGTTTTCTAGGAGAAACAGCTAAGATGAATAAATGTTTAAAATTGTCTGCTTTACAGGAGTATCAGTACAGACAGCCTGAGTTTGAGCAAATGGCAGTTAGTTTCATATCAAACATTCCTAGTTCGGAAGGCTGAGAAAAATGGGCCACTTCTGATGGAAGCTGTGTGTGTATGAATGCAGCTTGTATTCTGCAAGTACAAAACTATTTCCTGAATGTTAATAGGAACCCCTCCCCTCTCCAGTCTGAAGAATGTTGGTGTGTGAAGGGAGAAACCCTGTGCTTATTTAGCTTGCCATATTTTCATCTGAGAATCAAACGGATTACACATATTTTCCTAGATGGTACCACTTCAATGGGCTGCAGTGGCTCAAGTGGTTAAGATGCTGAACTGCAGACCGGAAGGTCGGTAGTTCAGCAGTTTGAGACCCGAATGCCGCATGACGGGAGTGAGCTCCCGTCTCTGGTCCCAGCTCCTGCCAACCTAGCAGTTTGAAAGCAAGAAATTGCAAGTAGGAAGGTAACAGCGTTCCGTGCGCCGTGGCATCTAGTCATGCCGGCCACATGACCACGGAAACATCTCTGGACAGCGCTGGCTCTTCGGCTTGGAAATGAAGATGAGCACCACATCCCTAGAGTTGGATTTGACTGGCTTTAGAGCAAGGGAAACCTTTACCTTACCACTTCAAGCAGAGGAGCTCCAGTGTACCACCGTTAAAAAAAACTTTCTTGCATACAGAAAACTAACAAGTTAGAGAGAAGAATTCTAAGCTAGCCTTCTTACCATTTTATTGTAAATTGTATTAATTTTATAACAATACCCATATAGAAGGAACAGGCCCCATAATGGGCCCTATAGATGCCTGGTTTTATTAAACCACCTTGAGTCTGTTAGGGTTTAAGTCCCACATCCCTGACCCACAACATGATAAATGCCCCACAAAACAACTTTAAAATTAAAAGTCATATTAACAAAACAGCAGACAAGGAAAGAATAAAGAAGAAAAAAATATCATGAGAAGAATGGGGATGTAAGAATCCAGCTGCCCAGAGGCCATCTGAGCCTAAACAACTAGGCGTGTTTGATTGGCACCTAGGTGGTTAAAGAGGGCAGGAAGCAGATACGTGTGGAGGCTATGCACAAGATTAATTCAGGGCCTCCAGTCCCTCCTGGAGAAGTGTATGGAGGGAGCAGTCAGCCACCCACATGAGCAGGGTAACGAGCCAGTTTCATATATATTATGCCTTAATATTGATTAAATGTGATGTTTGAATGCAGGTTTATTGCATTCCCTGAATATTATTTACCTACCTCTTTGAGCACGACTTCAAGCTCCAAATCAGTTATATTCAGAATGGTACTCAGGTCTTTGCCAATCTTCTCCAACTCCTTAATGGTGTCATTGAGTTTCTGATACTCTGCATCATCCTTAAAGCCTTTCGCTTCGATCCGACGTATTTCATTAGTCAAGTTTATCAGTTTTTCCTGAAATTCTACGATTCTAAAGTGGATTGCTATAACCTGGAGAAAAGTAAGAAACATTTACAGTGTACACTCTTCACGAGACATGTAAAGTCCCTTTTGTCAACCATCTTTTCACAACCATGGGCTGAGATTAAGAACAAGGGTGGCATGTTCACAGAAATTAGGGCTTGGATTTGAAAAGGGTGGATGTGGGTTCAAATGATAGCTCAGCAGTTCAGCTCCTTGCTAGTTTTCTCTGTCTGGAAATCCTTTGGAGGAGGAGCATTCCATTACAGGCAGCACTCAAACAGAGGTTTTTTATCTACCTTGGTTTCCACTTTTGTTTTTTTGGGAACATTACACAATGTTGCTGTCGAATTGTCCTGCTTCCAGGTTTTCCTCTATTTTGCTCTGATCTTTTTGTAAAGAATACAAAGATTCAGCTGAGGATATTGTATGGGAGGACTTTGTTTGGGAGTGTGTGAAAGCAATTAGAGTTGTTGCAGAGTCCAGGCTGCTTGAGAGATGGATAGGAAGGGGTATTGTTTGACTGTGATTGACTGTAATTGAGAGGGAGAGGAAGGGGCATTGTTTGACTGTGATTGAGTGCCTAGGTGAATTTGAATAGCTGCTGCCCCGCCCTCTGCTGGGGGAGGCCTCTATTTAAGAAAGCACCTTGCCAGAGGCTGAGCAGACCCAGCTGAGCTCTGACCAGGAGACAGAGCTGCTAGAGGGGTGAGTGGTTTTTT